ACAAGCGATCGGACATGTTTACAGACGCCGAACCGCTTGTATGTAAACGGCCATCGCTAGCCGTTTAAAATCCTGTCGGTTTCCCGATCCTGCGCGCCCCCTAGCACAAAGGACGCCCACCCACATCCAGGAGACTCCCGTCCGGCGGTCTTTCAGCGTTCAGCGGAAGTGGTTAAAGCCGTGGGGATACATTGGGATGCATTTTTAGTGCAGGAGCGAACGGATCTGGTCAGGACAGAATCCAGACATGTGTGAACAAGCCCTTATGACTATAGTAGTGCCACAATCATAGCGATGTTTCAGAACTAAGTGGTTCCTTCTTCAGGCAAACGTAAAGTGAGGAGCTCCATGTAAACGCCTGCACAACGCATGTAATATGATTACAAGCGGTTAGAAAATACTCTCCCTGGATGCACAATTGATGCGTTTAGGGAGAGTGATTCCTAACCATATGTAATATCACATACCATTACATGCGGTGTGCAAGTCGTTTACATGCAGCAGCTGTCACCTGATCATTAACTTGAATGAGTGACAGCTGCCGCTTGTAAACGCCAGAATAGTAATTCCTGCTGCAAGAAAATGCACGTTCCTGTTGCAGGAATCCCTAATTACACTAATTACTTGTAAAAATGCCCTGATGCCTAGCGCCGAAGCTTGCGCTGTTTCTTTTTTAACCTTCCCTGGTGGCTGGGGTTGGGGTCCACTGGGCAGGCTGGAGGAGTGTCACTGCTGTGGGCGGAGCTCCAGGTGGGGTCTAATGTAGTTGGCCGGCGACTGCCCAGAGGACTCCGCCTGTAGCTCCGCCCACAGCAGAGACACTCCTCCGCTCAGCCTCTCAGCGCCGCCGACGTCTGCAATGTATTAGCAGTATATACTCTATATGTAATACATATAGAGTAGGGGGGCTTCTTATTTTATGTGTGAGGGGGCAGGGAACAGGGGGGCTTCTTATTTTATGTGTGGGGGGGGGGCAGGGAACAGTGTCTCCTGTGTGAGACACTACGCCTATCGGAATTCCAGGAAGGCACGGTAATGCTAGCGGGAGATTTTAATCTCCATCTAGAGCCCTCCCTAGACTAATCTTCAGGCCGATCCCACATTGCCTTTAAACACCTCAAATATCTTAAATCACTCCTACATCAAATGCAGTTAGTAGACGTCTGGAGGATACTTCATCCTCGAGACCGGGACTATACGGTCTACTCTCCCGTGCATAACACAAGGATAGACTACATTTTCATAGACCATCACAATCTAAATATTTTACACAATACATCTATCTTTTCCTCCACCCTCTCGGATCATGCTCCGGTGACTGCCTTCCTAAAGCTCTCAGGTGAAATCCGATCCCCCCCTACCTGGAGATTAAATGAATCTCTCTTCACGGATGCCACTGTCATATCCGCACTTACAAAAGATCTCGCCTACTACTTTGCTTATAATTCTGATGCGTCACCGGGCATCATCTGGGAGGCTCATAAAGCCACAATTCGGGGCTCCCTTATCTCCCACGGCTCACGCAAAAAAAACACACTTCTAGGATAGCTGACCTCTTGGCGGGGGGTCTTTGCACTTGAAAGTATCCACAAACGACAGCCTCTGCTCTCATGGCTCTGACTAAAGCTAGGGGGGACCCGCAGGGGAGACGCATTGACGAACGAGCAAACTTCATCGCCAAGATAAAATCCAAGCAGGACGTTATGGTACATACCTCTTCAGCTATGTCTAACGTCTTTCAGGATTTCTACTCTTCCCTATGCTCTCTCCCTATGTGGGACCTGCTCTCACTCCCCAAGCAAAAGAACAACGCTTAAACCGCTTTCGGAACCATCTACCATTAAAGCCCTTCCC